GTCCCACCAGCCTGCTCCTCAGCCAGCTGCAGGGGGACTGGGGCACAGGGGTAGGCAGCCCCAGGTGCCCGCAGCATGAGTGTCTCTGAGCTGGGGTGCCCAGAGCTGCTGGTGCTTGGAGCCATGGGTGACCCCGAGATGGGGTGTCCTGAGTGGGGGGACAGGGCAGCCCCAGCCACTGGCACGGACAGTCTCCAGAGCATGCACACTCTCGTGCATGCAGGCGCACCTTCACATGTGCACACGCACCTTCATGCGTGGATGCACAGCCTCACATGTGCACGCACACACATGCATACACATGCTCGGGCGCTGCTCGCCCTGCACCCGATGCGAGGAGTGCAGAGCCTGGCATGGCTGCCGGGCAAAGGGACACGAGGGGCTCGGCCCCGGCACATCCAGGCGCAGCCGCCTGCCCCGGCCGGGCTGGCAGCAGCCGCGGGGGGATGGGGACCAGCTGGGAAGCCAAGGGCCCAGGCCTTGCACGCGGTCCCAGACCCCCACGGACCCCGAGCCCCAGCGGGATGGAGGGCGGGGGCTGGCAGTGCCACGCCGAGATGTGCTGCCCCAGGGTGCCCCCAGCTCCATCCAAGCAGCCATACCCGTCGCCATCCCTGCCGGCTGTGGGCGCTCGGCCAGCGCAGGGCACTCTGGTCTGCTCCGCAGGAAACTCCAATGTTCCTGCAAAAATTCTGAGGTCTCTTTTTGTTTTCCACTGTGTGTCCTGCTTTGGGGTGAAAAGCGCTTCCCATCCTGTGTTCCCAGCAGCTGGAGCTGACGCTTCCCCTGCCCGGCGGCAAGCTGGGGGCCGAGGCTCGCCCTGCGCTGGGGCTGGGGGCCGGGGGGTGGTGGGGCTGCCGCAGGAGTGGGGAGCACTGCTTCGGCGGGCAGCACACCTGAACTGCGTCCCTGCAGCCCTGCCCATGGCCGTGCCTGTGCCCCCACCCTGCCTGCAATGGCTGCTGGGGGCTCAGTGCTGCCCAGGATCCGGGCAGGATCCAGGCCGCTTGGCCCACCCTGGCAGTGCCCTGGGCTGCCTCACTGGGCAGCTCATGTGGCACAAGTGGGGGGTCAAGGAAAGAAGGAGGTGCTGGCACTGCTCCCCGGCAGCAGCCCTGGGCACCTAGCTGCCACGCAGGGGATTTACCCCAACTGCCGCAGCGCGATGGGGCAGGGGCAATGGGGCAGGGGTGACGTCCCATCCCATCTGGGTGAGCACTGCAGCTGGAGATCCTCCTGTGTCCCAGCCCAGCTCCTGCCTGCCCTGCCTGGTGCCCAGGGCCCAGCCCGGCTGGAGTGCTCCGGGTGCTGTCGGCCCAGCACTCGGCAGCTGAGTTCCCTCTGGTCCCTGAGCAGCTGGAGTTGCGGGGGGGGGTTGCTCCACCGGGCAGGGCGGTTGCGAGACCCGATCAGCGCAAGAACAAGGAATTATCCTGAGTGGCAATTTCCTCGTGCATGTCACAGGGCATTAGCTGGGACGGAGCCCAGGGCGCGGGTGCCAGCCAGGCCTCGGCCACCTCACAGGGCTGGGACCGGGGCGAGAAGGGCTGTGCATGGGCTGCGCCCCTTCCCCACCCCTGCCCGCTGGGTGCCCAAGGCCTTGTGTCCGGCATGGTGCCCTCATGCTGTGTGGTGCTGCTGGAGGGGACCGTAGCTCGCAGGGGCCCAGCCAAGCCTGGGTCCACCGGCAGCTCCTGCGGGGCCGGCAGCCAGGGCGGGAGCGGGGGACAGGGCTCGCCTGCACCCTGGGACAGGCACTGTGCCACGGGAGCCAGCAGCACATGCAGCAGCGGCAGGTCCACCAGGTCCCCTCGCCTCCCTGCGTCATGTTGCCGCCAGCCAGGCGAGCGAGCCCTCCGGAGAGGACAAAAGCCGCGTGCGAGGCAGCCGTGCAAATGCCGCCGCGTCGGCCTGCCGCGCCCCGTGTGCCGGCGTGCAAGGGGCCCTGTGTGCCCGCCGGAGCAGGGCCCGTCTGGCAGCACCACGCCAGGGCGGCCACACACTCCCGAGCTGGCACGTCCCGGGAGCAAGCCTGCAAACCTCTCCCAAATCGGTTCGATCCCAGGCTGCCGGAGCCCCCTCCCCGCCCCCGCCTGCCGCCCGCTCCGGCATTTAATTGCTCCGGCTGCTGGGAAATTTCAAGGTTGAATTTGTCTAACTCCAATTTCCAGCCAGGGGATCGCGTTCTGCCTTTGTCAGCAAGATTGGAAGCCCCCAACCCCTCCCGGCACCGGCATTGCCGGGTCCCCCTGCACCTGCTCCCCCAGCCCGGCACGGTTCTCCCACCGCCCCCCCGCCCACAGGTTCATTTTCTCTCATTACCGCCATGACCCCTGCGCCCTCCTCACCGTCACCGTGTCGTTCCCCCCCACCCCTTGCCAGGCCTAGAGCATCCCAGCAACAGACCCATGGGGGCAGTGGGTGGGATCGGGACCGGGGGATGCCGAATCACCCCTCCAGGTGATTCGGCATCCCCCGGTCCCAATCCCGCTGGAGGATATGGACCCGGTGTCGGCAGCCGGGGCTCACCTGCGTGTGCGGGCGTCCCCGGGCATTTTACGAGCGGTCGGGATCCCGGAGCTATTTGTACTGGGGAGGGCGGCAGGGGGGT